AAAAAAAAAAAAAACAATACCTAATGGGGTGCGTGGGTGGCTCAGTCGTTAACTCTTAGTGTTGGCTCAGGTCATGATCTTATGGTTTGTGGGTTCGAGCCCTGTGTTGGGCTCTGCACTGACAGTTTGGAGCCTGCTTGGGTTTCCCTCCCTCCCTCCCTCTCTCAAAATAAATAAATAAATAAACCTAAAAAAATTTAAAACACAACAATACCTGGACCCTAACTGGGTATTGTTCAGGATGGGACATTGGTGCCCACTGAAAAGATGGATAGGAAGATTTTTGTTGTTATCATTAATGTTTATTATTAGTTGTGATGTGCAACCAGTATTGTAACCAATGTTTTGAAAATCTATTTTCTTTGTGTATTCTATTGTCTATGAAGACATTTTTGTTTAAAAACAACATGATGAGGGCACCTGGGTGGCTCAGTCAGTTGCGCGTCTGGCTCTTGATTTTGGCTCAGGTCATGATCCTCATGGTCATGATCAAGCCCCCTTTCAGGCTTTGCACTGGGCATGGAGCCTCTCTCTTACTTTCCTTCTGCCCCTCCCCTGCTCACCTGCATATGTGCCCTTTCTTTCTCTCTCTTTTGTAAATAAATAAAATATGATATGATATGATATGATATGATATGATATGATATGATATGATATGATATGATAATGATAGATGCTCTGGTACCTTACAAGACAACAGCTCACCTTTCTGTTTCTGCTTTCAGATCTGACTTGCTCTAATTAGTCAGCTTGCCATTCCTTAATCATGATAATAATTCTCAGTATATACCATTGGAATAGACTGCATATCAAATATGGAAACAAATATTTAAAGTTTAGCTAAATAATTTAGTAACATTACTTTAAACATACTCATATCATGTAACTGAGTTCCTATATAAAATTGAAAAATCATGAAATTCTTTTTTTTTTTTTTTAATGTTTATTTGAAAGGGGGCATGAGTGAGTGAGGGGTAGAGAGGGAGAGGAAGAATCCCATGTAGGCTCCACACTCAGCACAGAGCCCAACTCGGGGCTCAATCCCATGACCATGAGATCTTGACCTGAGCCGAAATCAAGAGTGAGACGCTTAACCAATTGAGCCACCCAGGTGCCCCTAGATCATGGAATTCTCACTTGAAAGATAAAATAAGAACTGCTTCTAGGTAGTTTAAATGGCATTTGTATTCTGATATATGTAATACATATATGACTCTGTGTGTGTGTGTGTGTGTGTAGGAGTGGGTGACTATATGACTCCTCTTCCAACCTGTGACACTTTTGAGAAACACACACACGCAACACCATTTTTTTTAAAGTAGGCTCCATGCCCAAGGTGGGGCTTGAACTCACAACCCTGACATCTGGAGTCACATGCTCTACCCAGTGAGCCAACCAAGTACCCTCCCCCCACCCACACACACTGTTTAAAGAATACTAAAACAAATACACATGTATCTCCATATTGCTTGTTTTACCCCTGTCTTTTATGCCTTAGATATGGGATCATGTTACTTCTCAGCATACACTGATTTTCTGTTGTTTTCTGACTTTGAAACTATGCTCTCAGTTTCAGTATATTGTTTTATTATGCAGTCATGCAGTTTAAACAGTATTGGTCCTCATAAACTAAAATGCTTTGGAATAGTATGAAAAGGCAACTGTAGAAATAAGCTAACTTTCTAGTTTATAGAAGCATTTGCTAATGCATTAATTCTTTTTATTTTTATTTGTCCTTTACTCTTAGTGAAGCTATGGTCTACCAACCTAGACAACTCAGTGGCAAGCATTGAGGCGAAGGCTAACGTGTGCTGTGTTAAATTCAGCCCCTCTTCTAGATACCATTTGGCTTTCGGCTGTGCAGGTAAGAAATTAGAGCAGTTTTATCTTCTTTTGATGTTGGTTGAGTATTGTGGCTAGGATAAAAGACCGTATTTTAAAATGAATAACTTTCCTTATAGGTTTAAATTTTGTTTTTGTTATTAGACTCTAAGTTAGAAGTATGCATTGTGCCATCATTACTCACTTATTGCTGTGCTTTAATTTTAGTATTCTGTCACCCACGTTTAATACATAAAGTTGGGTTTGTTGATTCTTTTTGTTCCTGTAAGTCTTTGTATGCATGAACTAATGCTTATTCACAAACTTAGGTCATAATGATGTTTAAATGATTAAGTTATATTGTATAGACACAGGAATCCATTTTTAATTAAAGGAAATCTATTCATTCGTTCAACAATTTTGTGTGTATACATACACACACACGCATGCACACACGTATATAGTACTGTGCACAAAGCACCCATATAGGGATAGTGAATAAGATAAAATCTTGTATCATGGAATGCATGGTAACACAGGAAGTACCCAAAAGCATGTTAGCTGTTAATATCATAGCAAAGAATTTTTTGATAACATCTTTTTCTTAGCTAGGGTGACCAACTGTCTGACTTTGCCAGCCCTAGTTTATACTTATACTGTTATAATTAATATTAGTGCCTTCTTTTCATTTTCAGAAGTGTGATGGATTGGAAGATGAATCATTGCCTTACTCCTTTGTCTTTTGTATCTGCCCCCCCCCCTAAATATTTGCTAAAACAAAACACCTATAATTTAACTTCTGCATTAGGAAATCTTGATTTTTTTTATTGATAATTTCAGTTTTTTTTAATAAAGATGAGCTTAGCACCATATCATGAACACAGAATCACCCTTTAAAAAAAAGAAAAGCATAATTTAAATCTTATTTATGATACCTTTTCCTTATTTCCACTTATTATTTATTCACTTATATACTGACATAATTTCATTATTAGATTCTAGTAAGTTATGGTCTAACATGTATATGTAGGTAGAATTCTCTATTAGCATACAGAATTTTCCTTGTTAAATCCTTTTTCTACCACTGATTATGCAAGTTGGTTAACTCATCTCCCCAAGTCTCTTGGACTTAAAATGGAGATAGTCCTATCTTATGGGGATTATGAAAGGAAGATGGTATATGTAAAGCTCTTACAAGATGGTACTCAATAATTGTTATTTTCATTTTTAATATTTTATCATGCATTTATTGAAAACAGTTTTACTGTTATCTTATATTTTATATATACATTAACCATTGGCCGTAATTTATGACTAGAAGTTTTTATCAATATTTAGTATGTACAGATGCCAGATATGAACATTTTCAAATGTTTTCCTTCCTGGTAAAGGGAAACCTACCTTATTTTATTATTTAATTTAATTAATTAATTATTTTTTTTTAAAAGAGAAAGTGGTACCCCCCCTTTTTTTTAATTTTTATTTATTTTTGAGAGACAGAAAGGAGGGGGGAGAGAGAGAGACAGAGTGTGAGTAGGGGGAGGGCAGAGAGAGAGGGAGACACAGAATCTGAAGCAGGCTCCAGGCTCAGAGCTGTCAGCACAGAGCCTGACGTGGGGCTCGAACTCATGAACCACAAGATCATGACCTGAGCCAGATTAGGACGCTTAGCCAACTGAGCCACCCAGGTGTCCATATTATTTTATTTTATTTTTTAAAGTTTATTTATTTAAGTGGTCTCTACACCCAATGTGGGGTCAAACTCACAACCTTGAGATGAAGGATTGCATGCTCTTCTCACTGAGCCAACCAGGTGTTCCTAGGGAAACCTACATTCATTTATTCACATCCAAGTTAGTTAGCATATAGTGCAACAATGATTTCAGGAGTAGATTCCTTAATGCCCCTTACCCATTTAGCCCACCCTCCTCCCACAACCCGTCCAACAACTGTTTTTTCTCCTTAGGAGTCTCTTATGTTTTGTCCCCTTCCCTGTTATATATATTTTTTGCTTCCTTTCTTTTATGCTCATCTGTTTTGTATCTTAAGTTCCTCATGAGTGCAGTCCTATGATATTTGCCTTTCTCTGACTAATTTCGCTTCGCATGATACCCTCTAGTTCCATCCACATAGTTGCAAATGGCAAGATTTCATTCTTTTTGATTGCCGAGGAATACTCCATTGCGTGCGTGCATACACCGCATCTTCTTTATCCATTCATCCATCGATGGACATTTGTGCTCTTTCCATACTTTTGCTGTTGTTGATAGCACTGCTATACAGGTTGTGGTGCGTGTGCCCCTTAGAAACAGCATACCTGTATTAGGGAAACCTGCTTTTAAAAATGCTTTGCTATCTGGCAGGCAGTTTGCTCCTACTGTTTTAAAATTTCATGTAGTTCTTACTTAATTTTTGCATTTAATTTTCCATGTATGCTTTAAGATTTATATTTTTCCAATTCTAGAAAAATTCTTTTGGGATTCTCTTCTGAATTACATTGTATTTACTTGTTATTTTTGGAACCACTGGCCTTATTAAGATAGTATATCTTCCCACATAGTTAGAAGGGGTATTTTTCTGTTTGTTTGGATTATTTTCTATCCTACAGTGAGATTTTATAGTTTATTTCATTTAGGCTTAAGGTTTTTCTGGTTAACTATTTTCTATGTATATTATAATTTTGGTACCATTTTGTTTTTTTATTTTATTTTTTAACAGTTTATTTGTTTTTGAGAGAGAGAGAGTGTGAGCAGGGGAGGGGCAGGGAGAGAGGGAGACACAGAATCTGAAGCGGGCTTCAGGCTCTGAGCTGTTAGTACAGAGCCTGATGCGGGGCTTGAACTCACGAACTATGAAATCATGACCTGAGCCAAAGTCAGACGCTTAACTGGCGGAACCACTCAGGTGCCCCATTTTTTTGTTACTGTTTTAAATAAAATACTTTTTCCATTCCTTATTTTTAAGTACTGTTTCTAAGAGTAGATAGAAACTTTTGATATTTGGATATTTGTATTATATGTAGGCACCTATTAAATTTTTTTAAATTAAATCTAGTACCTGTTTAGTACAGTCTTTGAGCTATCCATTTATACTTGATAGTAACCAAATGATACAATGATACAAATACAACGGTATTTGTATTTCTTCTTTTTCAATGATTTATTGTATTCTCTTCTTACAAGGCAGTATTACATGATAACAGTGATAGTTCTTTTCTCCTCTATTTCACTTAGTTGACTGGGCTTCAGTCTTTTACTTTTAAGGGTATCCACTTTTGGAAAGTAATCTTTATTAAATTCAAATAATTCAGTTTACTGTTTCTTGGGAACAACTTAGTATTTTATCAAATGCTTTTTTAGTCACAGTTGATAAACTCATATGGTTTAATTTGTTGATGTAATGGATGATGCATTTACGTTTTCTGATATTGGATTATATTTGTATTTCTAGAATAAACCTTGCTTGAGCATAATGTGGAATTCTTTTGGCATATTGCTGCATTTATTGCTGGTATTTTTACACATGCAATCATAAATTGGTATATAATTCGCTGTGTTTTTTCTTAACCATTTTAATCATTGTTTTATAATTCCTGGTATACAAGTCTTGAACTTGTCTTACTAAATTTATTCCTGAGTATGTTATTACTTTTATTTTTTTGATACTTTTTTCAACATTTTTATTTAAATTCCAGTTAACATACAGTATTTTATTACTTTAAATATATTGTGAATGGAATTGTTTTCTTAATTTTATTTTTAAATTTTTTTTGTTGCTAGAGCACAGAAATACAATTAATTTTTGCATATTGATCTTGCATCCTGCAATTATACTGCTCTTTTGTATTTTTTTCTCTTAGTTTTATTGTGGATTTTTTTGGGATTTTCTACATTTGGGATTCATGCTATCTATGGATTAAAGTAATTTTATTTCTTCCTTTACTATGTTAATGTCTTTTTGCTTATTTGCATGAGCTTTAAGCTCATGTACAATGTTGAATGGAAGTGGCAGAAGGACTTCCTTACCTTATAGGAAAGTATTCAGTCCGTCACAATTAGGTATGATATTTGCTGGGAGATTTTTGTAGATACCCTTTATCAAGTTGATTAGTTTTCTATTCCTAGTTTGCTAAGAGTGTTTATTATGAATGAGTTTTAGATTTTGTCAAATGTTTTTTTCTCTGTCTACTGAGATGATCTTGTAGTTTATGTCCTTAATTTAATAATATGTAATAGTTCATTATTGTTATTTTTGTCTTGAATGTTAAACCACCCTTCCATTCCTGGGGAAAAAATCTCTCATAGCTGTAGTGTAAAATCCTTTTTATATGTTGCAGGATTGAGCTTGCTAATATTTTAAGTGTTTTTTGGGTATCCGTAACTTTCTTGTGATGTTTTGTGGCTTTAATAGCGAAGAACTGTTGGCCTTATAGAATGAGTTGGGAAGTGTTTATTTGTTTACTGAATAAGTTTGTAAAGCTTTGGTATTATTTTTTCTTTAAATATTTGATGAAATTTATCAGTGAAACCATCTGGACTTAGACTCCATGAGAATATTTTAAATTCCTAATTTAATTTCTTCTTATGAGTTTATTCAGATTTTCTCTTTTTCTCTTTCTTCTTGAAGTCATTTTTGGTAGTTGTGTTTCTAGGAATTTGTATGTTCAGTTTTTCTAATTTGTTGTGATAAAGGTGTTCATAATGTTCTCTTATAGTCCTTTTCATTTCTGTAGTTTAATTTCTGTAATCCTGTAGTAATGTCCCTTCTTTGATTTCTAACTGGTCATTTGTGTCTTCTCTCTTTTTTCTTTTTGGTAGGTCTAGTTTAATATTTGTCAGTTTATTTCAAGTGTTTTGTGTGTGTGTGTGTGTGTGTGTGTGTGTGTGTGTGTGTGTGTGTATGAGAGATGCTTCACGCCAGAATACCATATATTTCCACTGTTCTTAATGTTGTTAACTAAACTTACTTGTTGGAAGGGTTAGAGATCTGTAGGCTAAGACTCTTATTGGGAGACCGGGAGAGCTGTTCTTTTTTTCTCATCTA